TTGTCATCATTAGCCATGAGTTAGGAGAACCGGAGAGCAAGATACCCTGTACAATTAGCTTGTTTATCACGTGGTTATTGGGTTGTTTTGTTAGCATGCACGGACCCTCACTCAAGATGTAAATCTCGAGTGTTGGATCCGTTTTGATGGATAATTATTTTATACCTCTAACGAGTTGATTTCATAGACAAGTCTACCTTCCATGTTTTATATTAGAACTCCTTAAAGTGATCATTACACAATACAAGGACTAAGTTTTTAATATTGATTCTATTTTCCCGGAACTACAGATCTATATATACAAATGAATATGATCATAAGGAAAATAAAAGACTTGACCATCCAACTAATTTTAGGTCATTCTAATTGAATGCTGTCGAGTTAAAAATGTAATTTGCCTAACATAGATTTGTAAGATTGCGAGACTGAGTATACCTAAGCTTAGCCCTTACTCTTTTTTTTTGCATCAGATTTTAATTGCGTATGCAGCTATCTAGCTATGACACAATATCAAAGAAAAGTACAAAAAAGATGACTCAATTTACAAGAGGAGCACTCATGCCTCGGATTTCATCTGCAGGTACCACTACAAAGTTATGGTGGCTTTTTCTTCACCCCAAGTCAACCCTCATCCGTGAATACCCACCCAGGGGAACATCTCAAAAACCCTGAGTTATCCAGACATGCCTCCATCATCCATCAATCTTTCTCCGCGCGAAATGCAATCTGAGATGTCTCCTTCCCAAGTGGAGTAGGTGCCCAGGCTACTCAGACTATACCGAAGAACACCACAAGGAGGTGGTCAACGGCATAGTCCATCGTCGGCTTGTTTTTATAGTGTCAGCTGCACTCTCGCAAGCGAAGCCTTGGCGCGCCCAAAGCCCAATTCGTAAAACTCCTTGCCCAAATTCGAAATTTCACGCCCTTCGAAATTATATCCTTCCTTTTCATCATCAAGTAAACTTGTCCTGATCCCCCTCACGTCCATCCCAAAGAACTGTCTCCCAGATTTATGCGCCACGCTTTGTTTCCTCCGTCGGGTGTAAATATCGGTGTGGGCGTGTATTTGGTGGTCAACTAAGGCCAGAGAAAGTCGACGAGAGGTGTGGTCATTGGGGTGAGGATGTACTATGTCGTACTTTAAGACTTGATGAAGCTTAGTTGAGAATCGGATCCTTTGGGAATGAAAGATTGACATGGAGTAATTTGAATTTTTGCCTCGTGGGCCAACTTCTTTGATATTGCGAAATTTGACTGAACTTGGCTCTGGGAGATAATTTCACTCCCAGGTTCGTAAAGGACACCGCGTACAGGTGTTCAGTCTTGCCCTCCTTAGCCCTTACTCGCAACAATACATACGAGTAAGCTTTCGTGTGATTCTCATCACCCAGCCTATATTTAGCAATCTTGGCTGTTACCTCGTCTTCCAATCTATTCTAATATTTACGCGCATAGCGAATAACTTATTCGACATAACAATTGGTGATTAACATGTATCTTCATTCTTGTCTCTTTATCTCAAGGAAACACGTATGTACAGCAGTAATCCCTCTCTCCTAACGCCATTCCTAAACAGGTCACTCATTACCCATCAACATAATTAGTCATCATTTCTAAGATTAGATTATTATTATAGTCCTAACTGAGACTTAAACAATGGAGGACTCCTAGAATCTACATTAGATACTGGCTAATTTTTCATGTTCAAATTGGATTGTCTCTAACTTTGCTCTCATAGACAGTGAGGGTCATTTCTAAGATAATACATGAAAGATCATTATGCCATTAAACATTTACCTTGCATGTTTTACTACCTCTGCAAGTCAGTGACAAAACAGAGCTTTAAACTTCATTACTTTGCTCCTGGGTTTGTCGTGGGACGGGCCGCAGAGCATGAGATGATACCCAGAGTCTTAGTCTGGAGAAATAGCAGCGAGCTCGCTTAGCCTAGCGTTCAAGGTTCTCGAGTAGACCGTGTGGTTTGGAAGCCAAGATTCGTAAAGTTTTATGGTCTTGATTGCCATGCACACTGTTGAAATTATATAAATTACTAGAGGCCAACTAGATTGATATACATGCAAATGATGTAGAGCGTCGACTAGAAAGAGAGATTAACAGTTGTCTGTTTCACTGCAGGCATTTATTGATAAGTCTAGTTTAGTGTAATGATGGAGAGTTTTGTTTCCCGAATCACCTACATTTAAGGATATTTTTGAGAGTTTATTTGTCTCTTGAGTCTATAATTATTTACAGACGTATAGATCTCTTCTATGTACGGGCCAGTAATATGTGTCTCGGGTAGTGTACGCCCTCCTACAAAATTTTCGTAGTTCTTCCGTGAGATACGTTCTCTAGTCTTTCTTTCGTAAAAGGAAGAGGATGGAAGCATTGTACAAGCTGTAACCTGGGCCAGAGGGGTGCCCAGTGTGCTAGGTAGGCGTAGACTCAAATTGCACACTAATGAACACATACATACAGGTCTTCATTGAGTACACACTAAGAGAAGCCGTTATCCCATCATTATCTCACCTCTCCAGCCAACGAAACGATGGCCATTTGCGGGTGTAGCTGCAGGGAAAAGTCTCAAAAGCCACTGGGTGCGGGGCTCTCTTAGTACGAAGAGGTCGTCGAGTGACTCAAGTATTTCAGATGACCTCCTGGCTGGTAGATTCAGAATTGAAGGTTAGAGGAGACGAATGTGTCATCAGATTGCACACCCTTTTCTTGAGGTAAAGGAGGCTTTTACTTTACTTGTGTGGGCTTTTAGTTCGCCCGCCGGTAGGTGGCACATGTTGCAGTATGACGAGTGCTTCTTCAACTACTGTTATGGCGTTAGGCACCAAAGTTTATTTCCTTATTCCGAGCTTCATTGTAGTCGTCTTGATCGTCATATATCTTATCTAAAGTTTTTTTGAGGGAGAGGTAGATAACTCAGCTCAAATTAAAGAAAGTGTTACGCAACCACGGACCTGCATGCTCTAGGTGGGATATGGAATTCGTAGTAGTAGCACGGGCTGGTCTCGCGTTTTCGTCCCCCAATTTCAGGAGGTTAATATGACGAGGCACTCCAAAGATAGAGCCATCCGGAATTACACTGTGCTATCGCGCTGACCGTGTCCTAATCAGCATATCTCAAAAGGTTGAAAATTAATGGATAATCAGCTAACCCCTGTTCACACTATCATCGTAATTTATTTGAGCTAAAGATAGGAGACAGCTGCACTCGAGCCATAGTCCAAGCACCCTCAAACCCTGAGGGGGCAGGGACTAAAAGGAGGGCGGATAGGAGAGCTGCCCCTGCGTCTGGTTCAGGAGACATTGACCGAGGCGATGGGACCACAACGAATTGAGGATTCGAAAAATCAAGCGTAGGAGGACTGCCGTCGTTTTCCTGCCCGTGGTGCTTACATTTGCCATGGAAATGCCGAACAATTGGCTAATTGCCGTTCTGGCGGACAGCGAACGGGATAGTCGGGGATGGGGTGCTTGCTCGTTCAGACATTTGACTCGACATGGTCAGGAAGTCGGTGGCTGAGGAGAGGCTGGTGGTAGGGCGCGGGTGGCATTTGCTGGTCCGACGCTCGCACAAGAGGAGCGTGCCCTAGGTTAAGGTTAGCGATGAAGGGGATGAGGCCTGGAGAATGACAAGAGCGACTTGTCACTTACCGCTGTGGAGATGTTGATGACATGCAGGGACCTGCAGCATGATATAGAGGTCGATTCTCGCGTCTGCGGCGGGAAGGGGGGGTGTAGACGATCCGGTCTGCCGGCCAGCCGGGGATCCCGACACGGGCCGTAACGAGATGGCGAAAATGGATGTTGAGTGAGAAGATGCAAGAACTGTCAGAGCTCATAAACGTCCAAGTAGCGATTTAGATGTCTATGCGTAGATGGTCGGCGTAGCGTCACAGTCTCTCGTCCGGTGAGCGACGCGCCTCCCACCGGATGAGTCAGCCGGGCAGGCACACTGCGTGAGATCTTCAAGCTCATTTCGCATCAGCAAGAACCAGCCATTCAGAATCATGGGAAGCTCAGGTCTAAGACCAAAGGGGCAGTGCCGCAAGCTCATCACAACAACATATGGCGACCACGAGCCGAGGAGCTGCAATGCATGGTCTAGACCTCTGACCGCACAGCCAATCGCCCGCCCTTCAATCCAGCCTCAAACTGCCGTTTCTGCGACGGGTGACAATCGCCGCCGGCAGAGCGAGCGACGTGAGCAAGGAGCTTCCTCACCGTTGCACCCGCCTGCGCCGTGTTGATAGTAGAGATTGGTCGGCCCTTTATTCCCTGTAGCGTACAAATGCCTGCTCCCTAGCAGCTACGAGGTGGAGCGTTTGATGCCTCGCCGGTACTGTAACGCCGACTGGCACTTCCCGCCACGCTCCTTCGCCCCACTGAAGGTCCGATACAAACGGAAATCACGGAGGCTGAAAATAGAGGGGAATGGAGATGACGCTGGCAGAAGTGACAGCTGGAACTGAGCCGGCACCTCTTGGCTACAGCTCGTCGAGGCGGATGGAAACTCTGTTGATATTGCGAAAATGTCGTCGCGGCCTTGCTACGGCGGAATCTGCCGACACTCGAAGATGTTGGCTCTCGAGGGCGTAGATGCAGTGCGAAGAAGTAGCATCGTGGTGGCGGACGCACACCGCCAAATGCTGAATGTTTGCTTTTCCGGCCGCGCGCAAGCCCGAGAGCCCAGATGGCCTGGCCATTCTCCCTCGGCGCGGCATGCCGACCATCGAGGCTGACGGAAGCTTGCCTCACTCGCCCCCTGTGAGGGTGGCAGAAATATAAGGGCACCTCGGAGCGCTTGAGAGACGAGCACAACATCGCCTCACCATCCACCACTACCTCCTCATCTCTCCCTCGTTGACGAAGCTACTACATCTTCCTCCTCTCGACCTGCAATCCACTCAGCTCTCGTCAGAAAGTTACCACGACACGCGCGTCCCCAATATTCAGACTCGGCTCCGGCCTCGCCGCACTACTACAGAATGAAGATCTTCTCGAGCCTCATCGGCTTCTGCGCCGGCGCTGCCGCCATTAGCGTCTCCTTTGATTCCGGCTACGATGAGCGTGATCGCGGCCTCGACACCGTCAGCTGCAGCGACGGCAGCCACGGCCTTCTTACGCGCGGCTACACAACCCAGAGCTCCCTCCCATCCTTCCCGCTTATCGGCGGCACTTCCTTTATCAACGGGTGGAACAGTGCAAGCTGCGGCTCCTGCTGGACCCTTACTTACAATGGTAGCTCCATCAACGTACTGGCTATGGATCACGCCACCGACGGCTTCAATATTGCGCGCGCCGCTATGCAGAAACTTGCCGGCAGCGCCGGCGTCGCCATGGGCCGCATCGAAGCAACCTACACAGAGACGAATGCGAGCGCGTGTGGAATCTAGAATGGACCTCGCCCGCCACAATACACTAATACAACCACAACCCGAACTGCTGGGCAAACGGGTCCTACAAAGATCAAGAGGGCACGGACGGAGGAAAAGACGAGGAATGGATGGGTGAAAACTACAGTTCTGCCATTACCCTAATTTAAACTCCAGCAAGCCGCCATGCTACCAATATCGCGCGCCGTCCAACCTTGACCGTGACCCCGAGCCTTCCAAAGTGATGCAAACCCTAATATACCGTCTCCCATTCCCTAGCGACTGCAAAGGCAGAAAATGAAATGAAAAATGCTCAACTAGAACATGCTAGTTTATCCGTTGCATGTGCCAAAGTCCTAGATGATAAGAGTTGAAGATTAAACCTTGCCTACCCGTTCCCAGTCCGGTGGCTTCGCAAGCGCGTGGCCCTATCATCATAGATCCAGTCTAAGCACAAGGCGCTTGTAATGGGATTAATAAAATGGCGAAAAAGAAAGAGGGTATCCGTAGGTTAATAATATATGAAAGTCAAAATCTTTTTGAAAAACCGATGTGAGAGGATGTGCAAATGAGAATGTGCGGGATTAGTTTTATGCTAGGCCAATGGTCTGACTTTTCACGACGCCTTCGCTACCGGCCATGTAGAGGAAGGTCTTTTCGTCTTGCAGAACGGTAAGGCCGGGCCAAAAAGCGGGAGCTTTGAATACGGTTGATTTGACCCAATTGGCGCCATTGTCGGTGCTGGTGAGTAATTTAGCGTCGGCGAAGTCGACCCAATTGGTGCCTAATTTGGCGTTGGGGTCGTCTTCGTTTGTCATAAAGCTCACAACTAACGTCTGGCCGACTCGAGCAATCTGTGGGGCACCGGCATTTTTGCCTTCAGGCGCAGCGTAGAGGGTTTTACGATCACTCCACGTCGCGCCGCCATCAGCCGATGAGACGGTGTCGAGACGAAATGGTCCACTGTTATCGTTGGTTTCGAATACACCGAGCAAGTTATTTCCGCCCATCTCAGCAACGCCAATCATACCATCGCGCGATGCGTGCTCTCGCGCACCCGACATTGCCATTTCGGGTCCCCAGGTAATACCACCGTCGCGGGACGAGAGGATAACCGAGTCTTGGTCGACAGCCGATTGTTCATGAGAGAAGTAGAGTTGAAGAGAGCCGTCACCAGCGTTGCGGAGAAAGGGCTCCCAGACTCCGTTGTTTGTGGGCGTGGAATCAACTACAACGGCGTCGCAAAGAAACTGCCATGAGACGCCTTCATCATCGCTGCTGGACATGGTTATGCGGTATATAGTATCGGCACCCGCTGCATTCTGTGAGTGATTGCGATAGGCGAGTATGATGCGTCCAGAGGGCAATTGGATGGGAAAGGCGTTGTCGAGGGTTCCGCTGGAGAGGGGTTTTTGCGCGGCAGTGCCAAGGAACTGCCAGGAGGCTCCATTATCGCTCGAGGTGACGAGAGTGAGCACCTGTTGACCGCCGGCCGGAAAGGCAGTATATGATCCAATAATCTTGCCGTTGTTCAGGTAATTAGCACGAGGGTAGGCGGAGCCTCCATCAGAGACGGCAATAGTCACAGCAGCGCCCATTGGTGCTACGGCGGCAGCGGGTGGGGCGGGAACAGCCATGACGGAAATAGAGGAGAAGCTTAGGAGGTAGGCGAGAGTGCGGTGGTAGTTGGCGAACATGATGACACTAGTCTCGTCGTCGAGGGTTGGCAGGGGGGACGAACGTGGGTGTTTTGAGTAATCTGATGAGCTGACTTTCCTAGCAGGAGAGAAAGGAATAGTGTCGGCTGGAGAACTGAGGGACGAAGAATAAGGGCCAAACGTCTTTATGATATCTGGTCGTTGAGGCAGGAATTGGGATAGGCGACTGAAAGTCCCCGGTTGACATTGGAAACCCCCGATCCTTTCCGTAAGCTCATGGTAGAGGCTAGGTGGAGCCTCCACTGTTGATCATTAGGATCTGCGGCTCACAAAACGCTTGACTGACAGGCATGAGTAAGGTCCTATCCGCTATGACAAAGCCGATGTAGTCGAATGGAGCTAACCGCATTGACGGAGAATCTGGGGCAAGCGGGGGCCACTGGCGCACCGTCAATTCTCTTGGCGTGCCCCAGCCTCATTGCAATCAGCCTCATTCAGAGCAATCTGGGACATGTGGAGCGTCGAAGTGCAGACCAGCCGACGCGCCATCATGACCGTTGCCGTCCGGATCATACCAGCTGCAGTGATTGTGGGCTTGTCGAGCTGGTCTCCTGGGCTCCGGAGTCCATCTGACTCGTCGGCCGTCCCCTCCCCGCTCCCCTAACCCCCCTTTCCCCCCCCTGGCGATGCGGTGGAAAAGAAAGACGAGACCCATGTCTCGACCAATGTGTATGCCTTTCCGCGAACCAGTCACCTACGGCTGGACCTCTCTCAGGGAAATGAGGTCCCGATAATGAAGGCGGCCTGGTTGGGAATAGGAGGTATCAAGTCGCAAAGCTCTCGGCATGCCGCACACGAGATCCCTCGTCCGCCTCTGCTAGACGAGGACGGGGTCAATTCGAGGTCATTGACATGGCTTGACGATCTCGTGTGAATCGCCAGCGGGCGGAACGTGGGGGATAGCTGTCTGTCATGGCCATGCGTGCCGTATTTTCTAGCCATGGCGGGACAGCGCGTTTACAGCTCGGGTAGGTCTAGTCGTGACCGGACTTTGGCGCGAGTAGACACCGTTTCGGGTGGGCGAGTCCGGCACCGACCGATCCCTTTTTCCAGGGCCCCGCGTGATGCTAAATGATCTCGACAATGAACGTCGGTCCGGCCAGACTCGTCGGGGTCTGAAGAGTCAGGCTAGTCCTTGTTTACGTCGGGCCACGCTCGTCGCCATGCGCCCAATTCAGCCTTAGTCCGGACAACTGGAGTCACCCAAGCAACACTGGACTGACAACAGGCCTCATTCGTCGCCGGCCAGCTATCCTGGCGCATCATCATGTCTCGTCGACATATGCATAGAAAGCTAGCCCGGCGGCCGTGAGTTTCAAGTGCGGCATTGATACGTGCAAAGGTCCACGAATAAGTATATCCAAATAATTCAGCGGCGACGGTTGGCCCTGCAACTCGCGCCAGTTTCATGCCCCAAAAAAGACGTCTCCATGTCGCGCCTCGCGCCAGTGTCGTCGACAACTATGACTCGACGTGTCGGAGAGGGATGTCGAACCGGAACACGCTGGTCGGATGACTCGTTTACCCTTCCCATCTCCGACTAAGGTCAAAGCGCCCGTCCCTCCCGCTGACGCTCTATGGTCCACGAGGTCGCGATAACCTCATGCCTCTGACCAAGCAATGAGAATAAGCCGACGGCCCCGCATGGGGATTTTGGAAGGTCTCATCGGAAACTCAAGGCTCTTCCCCATGATTCGCGTCTGTGACTGTCGGCCAGAACGACGGGATTCAGGCCTGTTCCAATTCCGGTCACATGAGGCAAGTTTGGAGGGGATTATGCGGCGCAAGAGAGATGCGCGAGCCGGAGTAGAATCTCCAGATGGACGTCTTTGTGCATGACCATTGCCTGCATATGAGGCGGAGGTGCCGAGCTCAGTTGGTCCATTGCAGAGAACCATTCGTGTAATTAGCTGCGGACAATTACCCTTCTTGGATACATTACGGCCCAGCTACTTGTTGGGCCCTCTTGCCCAGATCTGGGGATACTCTCACGCTGCAAGGAGACAGATTTGCTTCGAGCCTGCCGCTGCCATTGAGAATGCTTCTTCGTTAGTGGGAGAACCACTGCCCTACAACGTGAAAGGCTAGGAACTGTCGGTTAAGGCCTTGTCAAGTGTACGTGATTTAGTACATCGGAAGGTGGTCTAAGGCGACGGCGACTGTGTCTGGAGATGAGATGCTACAGGAGTCATGAGTTCCCTTTTCTCAAATCCCGAACACAGATTGCTGCGAAAACCAAGTCCTCGGAAACTCCAGACTAGTTCGTCTGGGACTTGTGTCGCTCAGCCGCAATACGAAAACTGCTAGGGTTCCGGGCGATGGAAGACGACTCTTGGCCTCGGCAATTCTCTCCCTCTGGCCCCGTCGTCATTCCCCAGCGGCCGTCGAGCTATGCAGACGTCCTCCCGCGTGAGCTGTATCGGCGCTTCGCGTGCTCATTGCGAGTGACCTCTTGCCACTGTCAAAGCCTCGTCCGCAATCCTGGGTCTAGAAGCGAAAAAAATTTAGAAAAAATCTTGGGTCTACATGGGCTGCACTAGCGCAACTTGTCACGCGGAAGTTTGGGAATTGCCGCTAATGGGGCCCCAGATAAGGCATCATCTTGCGCCGCATCAAGACTCACCATCATCCAGCATTGAGTGTCGCCGGACCGTCAGTTTTCGGTCCCTCTAGCCAATCGCCATTTGCAGACCGTATCGTTCTCTTGGCCTGCGCCGCCCTGTCCTGCTGTCACTGCAGATTTAATTTCTCGTGTCTCAGGCGATCACTTTGCGTTGATCGTGGGCAGACGACGCTCCTAGTACTTGCGCCAATGCATTAGTCTCTAGACCTCTTGGTTTGCGAGCGACCAGGCCTAGTGTCGCTTTGCCTGATAATCATGCACAAAGGGATGTGCAGCAGCAGCAGCAGCCTGCTCTTCGCTTGACGCACCATCCTTCTGCGGCGCCGGGTCGATGTAGACGTGGGTGAGCCGTTAGATTCTGACATCAATTCGACACGAGTGGCCTTGGCGCAGGGTCGGGTCGCGCGCTTGTCAGTAACTCCTTGAAGCATCTGCACAAGCCGAGCAGAGCAGCGACAACCCAGCAACATCCACCTCGACTCTCGGAAAAGAGTTCAGTCTAGATTCTCTGGATAACATGCTCTCGCGCAATAGTACGTACGTTCATGACCAGGGTGGCCTGCAAATAGGTAGGGCATTGGAAATCACGTGCTTGCTTAATCAGACGGGCAGCGTGGGAATGTCCGAGAGTCGAAGGAGGATGGCACCTAATCTACTCTATTCTAAAGGGTTGAGGATACACTCTCCAGCGCTTCCATATTTTAGATTGGACACAGATGTGTTCTCTTTTCTCAGTGGCTCCTGCTACCGGAGATCCTGAGCTCATGCTTGTCCAGTCACGTGTGGAGGGTGAGCTCCCAGCGAACAACGTGAGTCGGGTCTCCACTCAAACCCGGTAAAGGTATCCTCATCCTCATTAGCCCATTTAGGTCTCAAATACTTCTAGCCCAAGTCACCAATCGAACTATCCCGTGCGCAAATGCCAACGGTATCATGACGAACTTGGAGATTGTCATATCGGCTTTCTGGAGCTCGTTGAGAGACGGCAGAGGAAGCCGCCCTGGCCTACTTTCTCAACAAGACCGTGGTCATGGCAAGAGTGGAGTGAGGTATGAGCATTCAGAGCAAATAACCGGCATGTGCTAGAAGCATATGCCGGGGTGAATAATGGTCAAAGGTGTTAGGTCTATCATCTCCCGACTCTAGGCAGGTAGAGTCGTCTGTGTCCCTACCATCCACAGAAAGCCCTCCCGTCGAGAAGCGGTCTCGCCAGCAAACATCGTTCGTGGCCTTGTCTAATCAAAGATAGGACTATCTCACTACGCCTCTGCAGCAAAGAAGATTGCCGATACCCATTTTCCCTTTGATCGTGCGCCAAACAAGGATCAGATGGTGTACTCCTACCTCATCGAGGCTAATCTCCCAAGTAGATGAGGATAGCTTGGGTATCTATCTCATCTCAGACAGATGATCGCTGCTTCCATCCCGGCAAGACTTGGTCACATTATGTGCGAGTAATCTCTACAAGACGACAAAGGTATGCTTCAACTGGTAGGTCTCTGATCTATCAAGTTATCCCGATGCTTATAGACGACAGTAGAATGCTTCATACATGCACACACCTTACAAAGTGATCACCAGGAATAAATTGCAGAATTCTAGTGTAACCAAGGCTAACTCTACCACTACATAGTCCAATATGCTACAAAAATGGTTCTCCGTTCGATGGATACGGTCAAAGGAAAAGGATAGCTTACGAAAAGTGCTGATAATCATGAGTTATCAGTGAGCATTTATTACAGTGCCTTACTTCTTTTGCATACACCGACTTACCACTTCCATGTTGTCCACACCGCGTATAGTTTTAAAGACTCGCCTGAATTCTTTGCCGCAATAAGTTTGTATACAACGCTAAGCTTTTGCCGAGAATGAGAATGATTTCATTATGGATTATGTCATTGCAATACATCTTTCTGGTACAAATTACGTCACAGCTAAATTGAGGCCAATACTTTTGCTCACTCGCGCAAACTGGTGCCATAATTACTTAAGCTTCGAAGCTGCGCGAACTTTGCATCTTCTCAGTGTTGCTCTGCAAAGTCACTGTTCTATCCATCGCCAGCAAAAATCGAATATCAATCGATCAAACCGAGAGCTGTAGCTTCGCAGCCGACCATATCATTTTCTACATCAAACTACGTTCCGTCAATTTTAATACAGCTATTCTGTCACTAAAACACTTACTCCGTCCAAGGCCAACCGTTCTCTCGAGTATCATTAGCTCTATTTCAACGATAAATCTGACATGGCTGTACGTGCTAAAGATCTATTCTCGTATACAGTAGACTACCACGAGCTTTACTGCAACAAGTACTACGAAATCAAAATAGTTCGTGACATTACGAGTATCCATCCC